CAGATCAGCAGCGTGAAGGACAGGAAGCGCCTTGTACTCCTGGACCTGGGCTTCTCTGGTATGTCCTATGGAATGGGGCAGGAAGCCTGACTCATGCAGTGGCTGGGCTCACACAAGATACTAGACCCAGGACCTGGGTTCACTAAACGTTCTTGTGTCTACATAACATGTGCTAAGATAAATGAGCAATATTATGGCTTTGCATGATGGCCTGATTCCCAAAACAGGCTAAATCACAAACCAGGAGCCCAACATAATGCATCCAATGAGCATAGTTTTGTGCCACAGTTGTCCATGAACTTGGTTGTTCATGACGAAACCTGGATACCTCTCTGGGACAAGCACGTCTTACAAAGTGCTCAATCTATTTCAGATACGTGAAGGAGGACGATGCTTAGTTGTCCCCAATTCCTATGCAGACCCAAAACAAAAAGAGGTCAGGCAATAACACAACTGTGTTGAAGCCTGCCTTGCTGCTTCTCAGATGTTCTTTTCCCCCTGTGGAAGAAGTTCCCATCTTCCCATCTTATTCTCAAGGTGCTTGAGGATGTCTTTTGCGTTTTCTCTTGGCGGTGTTTTCAAGCCAACTGTATTCATGTGCGATTACGGTGTGGTGATGGCATTTTCTGATGCAGTCCTTTCTCTGGCACTTTGAAGCCTTCCCTTGGAACTGAAGGGATGGGTGGGAAGCCAGGGAGGCTGCAGAGCCCTGCAGAGAGGCTCGTGCAATGAAAGAGAGGACGTTCACACACCCCACTTGGCCCCTTTCTCATTCGATAAGGTAAACCAGAGGTTCTAAATTGTGAAACAAAACTGTAGTAGAAGTTCTAAGTTAAACATATTACAGCATTGTTAAAAACAACAAATGAGGGCACCCAGTGGGGTGGGGGAGTCATGATGGTGGCCATGACCGTGTGATTGAAGCAAAGGAGAATTCATCAGGCCATGTGGTAGCCTGGTGCACTGGCTGACAGCTTGTACAATGAGGAGGTTCCTGCTGACATCTAGCCTGAACCTCCTTCCTTATGTTTTTCATCCACAGTCCTGGTTCTGCCCTCTGGGATAATAGAGAACAAGTCTCCTGTGTGGCAACCCTTCCGATATCTGGGGCTGCTCTCTGTACCTCCCCTCAGACATCTTTTCATCTGATCATACCCAGATCCTTTAACTGCTCCTTACAGGGATTGGTTTCCAGACCCTTCACCATCTCAATAGCTCTCCTGTGAATTTGCTCCAATTCGTCACTGTCCATTTTGAACTATGGTGCCCAAAACTGGACACAGTACTCCAAATGGCATCTGATCAGGGCAGAGTAGGATGGAACACTTTATTTCCCATGATTTTGACTCTTTGTTCCTCTTTATCCACCCCAAGATAGCATCTGCCTTTCCAGCAGTTCTTAAACACAGTACAGTAGATACAATGCAGGACTTCACCGTTTTTCCTCTTCGCTTTCATCCTATGCATTTCAGCCCAGTGCCCGAGCTTGCAAAACTTGAGCTTTTGAATCTTCTCTTTTTCATCTCAAGTATTGGCCACCCTTCCCAGCTCTGTGTCATCTGCAGGCTTTATAAACATCCCCTCAAATCTCCCGTCATGGTCACTGATAGGAAATTGAACAGCGCAGGGCCTAGGACTGAGAGATGTCGCACAGCACTTGATGCTTTCCTCAAAGCTGAAGTGGAGACACTGGGTGTGGTCATTCAGCCAACTGTGGGTCCATCTAACAGTAGTATCATTTAGCCCACATTTTACCATTTGATTAAGAGAATTTTATGAGAGACTCAGGGGAGCCTACAACAAAGTTCCAGGTATGTTGTGTCTAAGGTAGTCCTCTGATCTACTAAGCTGGTAATTCTGCCAAAAGAGATAAGGTTAGCCTGGCACAATTCGTTTGCCACAAATCTCTGCTTAGTCCTGTTAATTGTAGCGTGCCCATCCAAGCGCTCACAAACATCTTGTTTAATAATCTGTTGAGGATTTTGCTCTGTATAGACATCAAGCTGACAGGTCTGTAGTTTCACAAGACCTCCTTGTTCCCCTTCTTGGGGATGATATTTACTCTCCTCTAATCTTTGGGGATGTCAGCAGTACTCCAGGAGTTTGCAACGGTTACTATGAGTGGTTCTGCAACCACCTCTGCTAGTTCCTTCACTATCTTGGGGTGAAATCTATCCACTAATTCATTTTTTATTAGATAAATTCTCTCTTATTCTTTCCTCGTCTGTCCTAAGCTGCACTTCTCTCCTTCCCTCAGTGGTATAATAATGACTAACTAGAGCTCTATTTCTGTTCTGAGAGAAGACAGTTGCAAAATAGAAGTTAAGAAGTTCTGCCTTCTCACCATCATTTGTTACCACTTCATCTCTTTCTTCTTGCAGTGGACCTACACTCTTTTTGGTTTTCCCAAGAACTTTTTTTGTTATTTTTGGGATCTTTCACAAGCCTCAGCTCATTCTGGACGTTAGCTTTTCTGAAAGATTGCCTATCGTTTCTGGAGACAGCTCTGTATTCTTCTTTGGACATGCTCCCCTTCTTTCATTTCCTGTACATGTCCTTTTTTCTCTCCAGCATTTTAGAGAGCTCTTTAGATGGCTCCCATT